ATGGTTTTGAACGATATTAAGGAAGTAGATGAACTACTATACCGATATTCTGGCTATTGTTATAGAAGTACTGTGTATAAAAGTAAAAATTGATTATTAATATTTTGTAGTTTTGTACATGTCTGCAACACATGATACATCAAATACTATTGTGGATATATATTATACATAATATTGAATAACAATGAGTGAATCGTGTTTATTTTTGATGAAAAATGGTATTAAACTCCACTACAGCCAATTGGCAACGAACTAAACAATACAAGTATTGTGCAGTATAGTTTAATCAGTGTTATAGTGATCGTAATTTTAAGCGATATTTCATGATTTATTTTTTCTTATCACACTGGTAAGTGATCAATGCCATCGGATTAATTGTATGAAACCTTAAAGGGTGGAAGATACGTGTTATATTATGGTACTAAAACGTTTCAATCTTACATTCTTAATTTGTATAAACTGAAAAATAAAATAAAAAATGGGTAAATTCCGTTACAATTACAACTTAAATTCGTGAGGAAAAATAGTATTAAATTGGCATGGAAATTTAAATTTTAAATTTTGATATTACTTAAAATTAAATTGTAACTTGACTTTTGATTGAAACGGGACCTAGATATACCTAGATATGATATAGGTATCATAAACAAAATTGGAACTAAAAGCGAAATAAGTGAAAAGTATATGGGATTTGTATGTTTATATAGAATAAAAGTGAAATCGTATGAGCATAATAACGCGAAGATTTATGGTGAATGGAAGATTTGCATAATAAGGAATAAAGATTCAGAGAGATAAAAAAAAGTGTACTAAAAACAAAAATAAAACTCAAGAGATAATATTGAAACACTATACTTATAATATTAGCTAGTCAGTGTAATTTAAATAAGGTATAAATGTATAAAATGTATGCAAGGTTAACAATATCATACCTACAATCGTTAGTCAAATTAATATTGTATCATAGAAGTATAATATATTATTCAGTATATTTTATAATTAGTTATATCAATGTAAAATATAGTGTATACCTACCACACATTTGAATTATTGAACATTAAATAATCTTTACATAAATAATTAAAACAATAATTATAATAATAAACAAACATATAATTTAAACATATTATCTTTAATAAAATATAACTATAATAATAATAACGTAAATAATAAAAAAGATTAAAAAAAAAAAATGTAATGAATAAATTGTTGAGTTAAATTGCTGCTAGTTTTAATATTTAACATGACAGCTTAAAAACTTATTTATTACCAATTATTTTATGACTTGATAAACAAAAAAAAATTTAAGAAACTTTGCAAATATTTTTTTATTAAATTATTATTATCATTAACAACATTAAAATGATTAAAATCAAATAACCTAATACATAGTTGTTATTGACCACAACTCTAACAAATATTTTTTAAATAACGAAAATAAAAACATTATTCTAGACATGTTTAAAAAATAAAAATATATTTGTCCCTTTATATGTGTCTTTTGCACGTAAAGAAAATGGACATTCTAGAACGGTCGTGAATTGTATTCTAAAGTTTTACAATGAGACTCTATTGGATTGACAGTAATACGAATAGGATTTTCGAACTCTTTTTTACTCAACATATAGGTAACATGGCTTTATCATATTTTATAATACGATTTAGTATAAAAATTAATAAATTTCAAAAATAGTTCAAAATAATAATAAAAAGATAAATTTATAGATAACATAAAACTATATAAGTTATAATAATGCGATATTTTAATTATATGAAATTTTGTAATTTTATATTACCGAAAACGGTACTTTTACTCTACTATTACATTTTTATATAAAAAAAAAAAAAATTATTTATGTTTTTAAATTTTTTTAAATATAAATTACATATGATATTTGATAAAATAATGAAGTTTAATTATATATTTCATTAACACGCGCGTAATAGTATGTCTAATATTTTTTATTTTTTATTTAGAGACAAAATTAAAACATAAGATTCGACTTAGATCATTTTTTTATTTGGCATTACTTAACTTTAAAACATAAGTTTAAAAACTTTCCAGCATGTTCAAAATTTTATAATTTCTATTTTTCCTAGATTATTAATGAACTGATATAATATGATTGAATATAGCTTAAATAATACAATTATTATGGTTAATTATGGTAAATTAGCGTATGACTTTTTTTTTTTTAATACATATGCACTGTTCTAAATTTGTTTTCTTTAATTATAATATCGAGTTTTAATGAAATGATTGCATAAAAACTATTTATTCTAACATATTTCAAATATAATAATTATTTATTATAGCTTCCAGCTATGAGTTATGAATTAATTTCTTTTTTGAAAAAAGTAATATGTAGAGTATAACATATAATATTTTACTATAAGATATAATATCTAGATACTAGTTACAATAATTGCATTATGTTTATTAATTGTATTTCAGAATAATACATATGTATATATATATTTTTTTTTTTTTTTATTTTAATTTTAATCATAGCTTTTAGTTCATAATATGTATTCGTACATGCTGAATAATTCGATTGACACTTATAATTGCAAACACCAAGTAACTTTTATTGTAGAAAAATTTTGCATGTAAACAAAATATGGCAACGTACTTCTTATGATGCACACTGCGATTAGAAAAACAGAGCTCAGCTCAGAAGTGGTATTAAATTTAAACGTTTATTGCATAAATTTCGTTATATGTGATTTCTAAAAGTTTAACCTATGTCTCACGTCTATATTATATAGAATATAATGGCATTATATAATATTTTGTATATTACACGCGTATTGTTATTCAGCAGACTGTGTACAACTCGAATGTAATCGTACGACTTTTTTTTTTGTTTTTTTGCTTTTTTTTATACACAAAAGTACAAAACTCTATATAAGGCATAATGTAATATATTGTGTACAATATTCATTTGAAAAAAGTCATCATACATCAAAATTCTAATATTTGTAAAAATCATAATATATTTTGGTATTTAATGTAAAACTTAAGATTTTTTAAAATATGAGAAAAATTATAATGACATAATTATGAGGACATTTATATTAATAATCGTAGATCTATGTCATTAAAATTAATCTCTTAACTACCACTTTTTTTTTTTTTATAGATTCGAACTTTGTTAAAATGAGTTTTCAATTTCAATAAATTATTTTTGCAATAAATATACTGCAATCAAAAAAATACTTTTTTCTTTATAGAATAAATAATTATTTTATATGTGTTATATGAGTTTAATAGTAAAATAATATGTTATTTTGTTTATACTTGACAATATGAAATTTTAAAAATGTGTTAGTACACAGTGAGCTATAATAAAAAAAAAATCAATTAGTGGACACTTTATAAATGACATAATAATATATAGGTTGTTTTTTTTTTTTACAAATGGAGCAAAGTCGCCAATCCTTGACAACATAAAAAATTAAAATTATCTTCTAGTTTATTTCAAAAATAAAAAATCACATAAAGCTATTACACAATTTATATTAAACAAACAAAATTGGTGTACTAGTCTCTATCAAAATGATGATGTCGACATGGAAGCTACTGCTGAATACATAAATATCAAAAACAACTTACTCTAATATTTATAAAAAAAAAAAATAATAAAATGCGTGATTCTTAAAAATGTTGTGAATAAAAAAATAAAACAATAAAATAATCTGCCAAATTCATGATTACATTTCTACCAATACACTCAAACTAAAAACGTTTTTGTTAAACTCGCATGGATATATTATCAAATTTATTAATAAAACAAATGTTGTTTACTATTATGTACAGTTCAATTAAAATAAGATAAATCATATTGAGTAATCTTGAACCTTAATTAAACAACAAAAGATATTTTTGAATTAAGGTCTTTGCGTCTTATTAAAAATAAGTTGAATTATTTAAAGCTTACAAACAAGTACCACAATATTTAAATTTCGAAAGTTATGACCACGGTAGATCTTATTAATTATCCCAAATGTATTCAATGAGGTAAAAATCACACCTCTGTATCTGTACCTAAAGGCACAATATTTCTATCAAATGTATTTTCTACAATGTTAATCATCCCTCAAATTAATGTGTATATTTTTAAAAACCTACATTAAAATTGTAGCTAACAGCGTAAAAATAAAATTATTATTATTCATGAAAATTTAAAATCTAATATAACATTATATACAAAAAATTTCTGAAAACTCTAAAAAATAAAGTTCTAACTTATTTGAAAGCTATTAAAGCAAACACTTAAATAATACAAATAATTTTATATACAATAATAGTGAACTTTGTTCATAAATTAATTTAAACCAGATATTATCGGTATACTTATTTTACTCCTTACAACTATTTTACGAATAATGAATTAAAAAAAAATTACATTCAATATTATTATTGAACACAAATTAATTATTCAAAACAAGTAATGACATGAGAAAACAAAAATAATAATTAAAAATTAAATTGATGTGTTGTAATAGTTAGCAAATTCACTAATGAAGTGTTCAATTTATTATTTTATTTCTATTAATTAATATTCATTTAAATTTTAAATAATAATAATAAAAACAATAAATATAAAAATAATTTAAATAAAACAAAATGATAAAAACAAAATAATGGTTGTTCAGAATTAATTAGCATATTATCTTTATTTGTCATATAAATAAGATGTTTTAATAAAATGGAATAAAAATGATTTACTTGACAGATTTACAACTGCAATGAATGTACATATACATTATATTACAATATTTTATGTGGGTACATAATGACTATGATAATATATTCATTGACCAAATTAACTAGAAATAGTCTGATTCAAATATTTCATGTTTTAATTTGATAGGTATTATTAAAGGTTAGGCTATTTAAAAATAGTACCTATCTAACTTGATACCTTGATAACTTATTAGTATATGTATAATGAGTGTATTTTATTTTAGTCATGTTTAAAATTTATCAATTTCAGTATCCACAGTGAACGGGCCGTGGTTAAACGTATCAAAAGTTAATCGCTTACACATGGGTGCATATTTGTGCATAGCGTCTAACGGAATTCCACCGTCAGTTAGCAAACGTATCATGCTCATCACACAATGTGAGTGAAACTAATTTACCACTGTGGCTATGTCCGTACACACACGCATGCATAACGTTCACCGGCATAAAATTTAAACATACCATAAGGAGCGTTTCCAGGATTTCCAAATAAACTTCGAAAATTATCTTGTATATGTATGGGTGGAATCTAAAACCCATTTTGCTTTTTGCGAACACATGGTTTTCAAGGATACCATTCCCATTGCTTTAATTAAGTTATGATTGATAAGTTCTTATGAGTTAATAGTTCAGAGAAAAACGAATTCTCCCAAGAGACTTTTCGTAAGGCTCATCTTGACAGCCGTTCGAAAATCTCAAAAACTGTTTGACGTATATCTATAGAACTATAGAAGGTCTCGGTGGTCGACAATCGCTCGTAATGTAATTTGACTGTAATAGAATATGTTAAAAATTCAATTAAATAGCTATTGTAGTAGTGTTCTTCAAAAACACGAGTTTGTTAAACACAACTTCGTATTTGTAAATCGTGAGATAGGTGTTTGATTCCAGACAAACGTGAGAACGTTCTCATAGCTTAAACGGAAAACCCTTTAACATCCTGTATAAGCTGTTGTATTTGTGTACAAACACAAAATGCGTGTTTGTGTGTGTGTGTGCGCGCGTGTGATAGTAAATATTATTATTCCACGATTTTCCGTCAGGATTATTGGATTTCATAATAATTTATTTTTATTTTTTTGTATGCTTGCGGTTTTTCGTTTTTTTTCAACAGTCCCTCCCATGATATGGATACAAAATCAGCTCGTTGGTGCGCAAGAAGGTCAATCGGTCACTTTGGAATGTACGTCCGAAGCGTTTCCCAAATCAATCGATTACTGGACAAAAGATAAAATGACCATCATATCAAACGGTGAGTATGTATAGAAAAAAAAACATCATATCATATTAGGCACCACCTATAATATTATGTGTGTATTATTATGTACTTTTTTTTTTTTTTTGGAATCTATCTATGTTTGCGATAAAATTATATTTATAATGAAATAGGTATACATATTATATAAATACAATAGATTTTTTTTCATATCGATTAAATAATATTATTACGTGTAAAACCGTACTACTCATGCAGCTAACACTACAATGCGGTTTGATATTCACCGGATTTTAAATTGGGCGCAAAAGGCAGATCCACGAATTATACAACTCCGGCTAAGGTGCGCCGACCAAAACGATACCCGCAATAAATATTATGAATACCAGAATACCCATTGGTGTAATCAGAGCTGTTTGTGAATAAAATAAGTGTACAACTAAATCGTTTCCGACGTTATTATAATAGACATTGATATCGTAAGGAAAATATATACAATTATATTGCATTATATTTATCATGATAAAACATAAATATTCATTAAAAAAATGGCATGTTATTAATCTTGTACAGCTGTAAACAATTGAATGTATTAAAATGTATATTTTTAATATTAAAGTATAATTTGGTCGACCAATATTATATAAATATATAATATTTAAGTTATCACTATGCATATATTAAATAAATCTAATGAAACATAAAACAATTATTTTATTAAAAATATTTTCATTTTTACTATATAAATACAGAATAAATAGAGTGTATTAATTAAAAATAAAAACTACGTTAATTGATAAAAACTAACAAATTGAAAAAAAACATTTCATAATTTATGGAAGAAAAAATAGTTTTATTTTCAATTTATTATGATTAATTTAACATAATAAGACCGCACTAAGATCACTGATGTGTAAAATAAAGATGTATATAAATATTAAAAATTTAATTTAAATACTGAAATGACAGTTTATTACTGGTAAAATTGAATTTAATCGATACAAATTATTTAAATATTTCATATAATCTTTTTCGGAAAATATGGTTTACTTTAGTACAAGAGGCTACTAGTTACATCTTGCGGTAAAAATTTCTTCCGAATTGAGGCCCAAGTTTTTTTGGGGTTCGAGATTTTTTAGGTTACATATGAATTACGGCACGAAATTTAAAATTAAATTAATTGAAATATTTAAATTAAAATCGTATGTTTTCAAAGTGTCTACTTGTTGTATAAGGAGGCTATGAATAATTTTACTTGGCTTCTTATTAATATTATTAGCAGCTTTACATTTCACTTGATTACTTACAGTCTGTCTATTTAATGTTTCATCACCATCTTTTTCGTGGTTTTCATGATCTAAAACTATTTTAATAATTATAGTATTATTTAAATAAATATATGCTGTACAAGTCTTTTTAGTACAGCAATATCGATTAACATTATATTTAAAGTTTTATGGAAACGAAATTTATATCCGTCGATTACAAATAAAGTGCGATTTTTCCCACTCGAAATTTCATTCAACTTTATAAATAAATTAAAACAGAAAAACCACGGAACGTTTTTAGCAGTAGTAAAGCAACGACTAAGGTATACTTATTGGTATCTACGTTATACTGTGATTATATTTTATCAATCAAGATTAAATTATCTAGAATTAAAAAAAACCCAGTCCAAAACTTGTCTGTACCCACAATAAACTTGGACCGCAATTCGGATTAGACCTTTTACCATAGATTTCTTTGAGACGCAACTAGTAGCCTTTAATACATGGAGTTTTAACCCAAAGATAATTATGTTTAAGACTGTAATTAATTTATTAAATACAATTAATTGTACTAGATTGACTAAAAACCATAGTTTTTGATGATTAACGATAAAAATTATAAAAATATATATAGTAGTGTAGTAAAAAATATAATATTATATCTTAGACTTTAGGCAATTACATTGAAAGATTACCAAAATATAATATACATTTAGTAAAGAATAACATTGTCTAATAAAAAAAAAAAATAAGTTAGTTGTACAAGTATCACCAAAGTCAAAACATGCATCTATTACTATATTTTTTTAAATGCGCAAGACAAGTATGGTGTTTTTTCCTTTTGGTTAGTTTTTTAAAAATTTTCAATTTACTTATCATAGCGGACAGATGTAATTTTATCGTTAACTTATAACTGTTGCTAAAGGAAAGTCATAAAAATATTTATTTTTTAATTTTTTATGTAATTTAACTCTGGCAATCCATCGATTTTGTTTAGTTTTTTTTTTTTTTTCTTAAACCAACGTGATACCTCCCATTAAGGTATAGATGATTCTGACGATCCACAATAGTACATTTTCTGAAACGTTCAGATGCAACTTCTAGTCTAAACATGGTCGACGTCAAGACACAGAATGACTGCGATCAGCACGGTCGGCACTTGTCACTGTGCAGCGAAAATATATCGATTTGGTCCATAAAATGTGACTTAAAATAAGAATACGATTATAATAATGAATCGTCCAAAAATTTTTTTTTCATTTTTCTAAGGAAGAAAAGATTCTGTTTAATTCTTAAATCTTAATATTACACAATTAAATTTTGAAAAACAATTTTGATTTGTCCTGAAAAAGAAAAAAGTTGGAATGTCTTTTCTTCATTATTTATTTTAAATATTATTATTACTATTATTATTGTTATTATTTATTTATTTATCTTTTTTTTTTCATCAACGATTCGTATTTGTTGGTTTAGCATCTGATAATTATTAACGACGTTATAATATAAGAAACTGCCTATAATTTCTATGTAAACACTGTAGTTAACATGATGTACGGTATTTTTCAGGCACCAAATACCACACGGACCTTAAGTATAACGTATACAAAACGTACATGAAACTGACGATAATATCGGTAACGTTGTCCGATTACGGCACGTACCAGTGTGTTTCGAAAAACTCGTTGGGCGACACAGACGGCACTATTAAGCTTTACGGTACGTTCATGCAGATTAATATGTATGCATACTAAGATTATAATCATAATTTTTTATTGCATAAAGAAAAATGTATAAATACAAAACGAATACATACTTAACCTTCAAGTAGATTTGGATGTTTAAAACCTTTACTTTTGCTAATATTTTGTTCGTATAATTAGGTTTCAAACATTATATTATAATATTGTGTATAAAAGAAATTAAATTGTTTTAGTAATTTACCAAAACAATTGTTTTACAATAATCTAAAAATAAAGTCTAAAAATAATGTAAGCCATGCAACTTTATAATACACAATTTTTTATAAAAAGTATTAATTAAAAAAAAAAAAAATTAAATATTCAATTAGGTAGTATTTAAAATAGTTAAACTTCATCAAAATTTGTAAAATTAATATTAAAAATAAGGATATTAAAATTTCAAATCATTGTACAAAAAAAAAAAAAAAAATACATTTTCTAATAATTATTTATTGAGATTAACTTTTTTTTTATATAATATACAGATTTATCATAATTTTTATAAAAGTATCAAGTTGATGTTTTTAGAAAAGTTCGATAAAGATTATTTTTTATAGTGAGCAAAACTTATAAAAACTAGAGATACACATATTGAAAGATAAAGTCATTAAGTTTATTATGTTTAATATTGATTGATACAGACATTTTCTGAGGAAAATCTATGACTAGAATAGTTAATGTTATTTTGGTCTCTAGTGATAATGTGCACTAGTTCTATAATATAATAGTATACATTGTGATGTGTCTTAGTCATAATATTATAGAATATAGACAGTGTGTTAACTGAAACAATTATTAATTTATCCTAGTATTTAAAAAATACTATGGAATCGCACATCAGAGACCCCTTATCTTTCTTCTAATTTTTTTTTACTTAATTTTGATATCAGCTGCTGGGGCTATGTAAAAACTATTTATTATTAGGAAACGGATTAATATGCACAAAAAATCCTCAACATACGTATACAACTAAAAATTCTGTAATATCCTACAAAATATGCACTTAAAATTCAATCAAAAATATTTTATTCAAAATAATGTAACTTTAAATATATGTATATATATTCATAAATTAAATATTAAAAAATGTATTTTGTTGTCATCAATAGAAGTTTTCTATCTTTTTGTTTCCTTATCTTTAATCGATAAAATATTAGCCCACATCAATAAAAATGAAAACTAAAATTGAATTTTTATTTTTGTGTTTGGTCGACTCATCTGGTATAATACGTATGTCGCTTAGTATATTTTTGTAGGAAAGTGCAAAGAGATCGAATTTGTAATTTAAATAAGATAATATTTGCTGAAATAAAACCTTGGCAGATTCATTGAAGTTATCCACGTTTATATTAGAAATTAAACTTTGTTTTGTATTTTTTTAAATGTAATTCTTTGAATTTTAAATTTATCTTGTGTTTTATCAAAAACTTTGTAGTCGCATAACGCATTAACCAAAATTTCACAAATATTGAAATACAAAATTGAACCATCGGTTTCAAAAATATCTCTATGTTCGTTTACATATGTTTGTAAACGTCTCCTAATCGGTGTTTATTGTTGGTATTTTTAAATTATGAAAAAAAAAACTGGTATGGTTTTACACACAACGAATGCACAACACTAACTAATTGATTTCTATTTAATACTTGAATTAAATCCATATGATATCAATGTATTCATATTAATAAATTATAAATATATTTATGCTGGATATGCATATTTCAACTTTGGAGATAAAGACCGGTCGTAATTTCATCGATATTATGTGGCTATGAATGTGAAAATATAAAATAAAACCAATATAATATTGAAAAAAATAAAAACATGCACTATAAAGCTACAAATATGTAAAATAAAGTAAAAACGTTGAAATATACGAAAGATTCAAAATTAAAATTAACGTTGTTTTAATAAAAATGATCTGAATTGGGAACAATTCTCATCAATTTTCAAAAAGCTTATTATAATATATACGAGTATATACGTTTGCATATTAATCCGTTCCCTGTTCATTATTAATCGTTTATAAACTGCATTTGTTTATTTTTGTAGATAAAATTCTTTTTATATAAAATTCTAAATCCATAACTATGTTTCAGTACTCTACGATAATCCCTTTCGCTCTAAAAAATCTATTATGACATCTATGATAAGTAAAATATTAAGTGATCTGCTATATTATACCATTGAATGTATACATAATTTGTATAATGTGTACCATTGATATACTTTTTTACCTCTGTAGATTTTAAAAAATGGGGGTTTAGTTACAAGTAGTTTAAAATGTTACTCAATATGTATAGATTTAGACTTTTTAGTTACAGCTATAAAGTATTTATATTTTAAAAAGACGATGAAAAAATAAACACCAAATTTTATTTTTAATAAACCTATGCTATTATAAAATATGAACGAAAAAATGTTGAAATACTATTAAATTTAATAATTGGTAATTAAATTACCTATAATTACGTGACAGGCTATAATATAATATTGTAATAATTTTAGTACACAAGACTATATATTTATACAACTAATATCAGATAATAATAAAGTGCTGTCCTTTAATTTAGTATACCTTTGTTCTCTTAATTATGATAATATGACAAATATTATATCAATGGCAATTATTAAAGTATTATATGGCCATGAAAACATGTGATATGATTCATTAAATATGACATAATATCGTGTTAAATAAGAAACATTATTGATTTGGAAATAATTATTATGAGTATAGATATTTTTTATGTGGAACAAAATATCTATCACTTAAAAACATTGGAAAATCTAAACTAACCATATATGGTTATATTTTTATAAAGATTATTATTTTTTTATTTTTTTTATGTATTATATACAATTATAATAATGCTGTTTAAATGATTTCATACAACGCTGTATAACTTTTGGAATTACCACAGTATAAATTATATGAAATCCATACTTGGCCTTGATTCTTGTATGTAAAAAAGAGCGTAAACAAGGGATTTTGCGACAGACGTGATTATATAGGACGTATGTTTTTCGTGTACCTCGGATCAGCTTTAGGAGGAGATAAATAAATAAAAAGGTAAATATTTACAAATTTAATATCCATCAATTGGAGAGCAAAAATACATAGGTAGATATCTAATTGACTATATACTTTGCTCAATACATTTAAATTTAAAAAAATATGACTGTTGCCTTGGATGAAAATAGTGCTCGAATTACCTGTTTACCTGTTTTGTAATAATACTAAAAATATATACTGATGTTTTAGCAATCAAGTGTTTTATTTTTACGAAGATTGTATGACGCAATTATTTTTCTTTTAATAGTTAAAATCATCTGTTGTAATGTCTATATTTCGTTTTCTACCAAAGTTTTAAGATATTTTTTCTTATCCATTTATATATTTTTACAAATATAATCGTTTTCTCGTTAATTTTTCTTTTTTTTTTTTTGAAATACAATATATAAATATCTATTTATTGACAGTGATAACTTTAACGTCCACGTCGAACACATAATAGTTTATAGATAACGTATGATATTATATTGATATTCACATACTCTATCCAAAAGTGATATGCTTTGTTATATTTTATATTACATTTCTTTGTAACCCTATAATACATCATAAGCAGCATATCAGCTATTCACTTTGAAATCGAGTTAAATTTATACTATAATCAAACACGAAATATGTATTAGCGTCAGCTAAGTAATATTAAATCACAGTTATTGCATTACCTTTAACAAACACAAATCTGAAATTTGTTCCAAATTAGTTTTAACTTTGATAATCATTTGTTAAAATAATAATCGTCAATTAAAATTAACACTAACAAAAACAAATTATGACGTAAAACAGATATATTAATTACCAAAATAAAATTTATCACAGTTAAAATCGCTGTATAGGTATGTGCTTAACAAAACTCCCATGTAGTTTTTGTCATTCCTCAAAAAATAACTTTCTTCTAGTTAATATTTTTGATAAGTGAATTAGAAATACATTATTATATTATTAAAAAATCATTGTTTTATTTGAGATTCTAAATTAATGTTGTATTGTTCAGTATTTTTTAGTTTACTTTAATACAAAATGCAATTAAATATATTAAAATAATAGTTTACTTTCGTGTTTTTAAAATTCCAAGACATCCAATCCATAGAGCTTATTTATGTAAATATTTTAAAAGTTAAATTATTAATTTCCATTAAGTATAAACAGTTTTGCAAGTCTTAAAGTTTTGTCAAGAAGTGAGTAGAGAAATGTATTTGTAAGCTGTAGGCGTGAGGCTTTGAACAAATACGGTGAGACATCCTTTATTTATATAAACATACAATTAAAATTGGATAAGTGTCAAAAACGAGTTTATGCTAATTAATAATATAATTGTCTTGTAATTAACGTTTTGTTTTCATATTTTCATCTTTATGCAGCGGTACCTAAGCCAACGACGACTACGACAACGACAACGACGACCACTGCTGCACCTACAACTACTACGAGCACTACTACCATGACTAAAGTGGCCACCACGGTGATCGGTGGCTGGTGGACGACTGAAATACCTAAAAAATCGTCGAAATTCAGCGGAAAAGGTAAAAACCGGAACAAAACGATTTTTAAAATAACTCAAACACACCCTTATTTCTTTTCATAGGTACCTAAATTTTAAAGCTGTAGTAGCAATAATGCGATTCGTGTTATTCGTGAGCCTACTACTATATTTATGATAAATATAAATCGCATTAAACCCACATAATACGTGTACTAAAAAAAGGGTAGCAAAAAAAGCCCTTTTCCGATCACATTGTAGGAATAAATTTTGCTTATAAAATAGAGTAAATATGGTTTTCTTTTTTCTGGAAATGGAGAATTGTTATTTATAGTTGATATATAATTTAAATTGTAACGTTTATTAATATTAATAATGCATATTATAAAACTATACAATTGTTATTCATACCTAGTAATATATAATAATTCTTATGATTTAAAATCATGATATTTTTTTTTAGTTTCCATCACCTGTTTATTTCAAGACGAGTTTAATGGAGTTACTATTTATTAAGCGTGAATAATTTTTTCAACTTAAAAAGTTAATTTTTTATCTTTTAATCATTTAAAAGTTTTATAATTTTTATTATTATTATTATATTAATATTTAAAACTATTAAATTATTTTAGAATACGCCAAATAAGATAAGTAAGACTATAAATAATAAAATGTTTTTTTTTTCGGTTAGGGGATATATTATTTTATAAAAAGATTACATTAATAAATATACTGCAAACATTTTTCATGTATATTGAAACTAAATACATGATAATATAACAAATACGGAATGGATATCAGTAGCAGTGTTCTGAAGAATCCCCAACTACCTGAATTAGTAGAGGATAAAAAGTCACAACATATTAAAATTAAACTGTTTGAACATTTTTGAGCAGTTACTTGAATCGAATTTAATATACTTTATTATACGTTTAATGTTTGGTAATAAAATCTCACTGTTCAGATATATAATATATATTTACCAGCTATACATGATTTAATCGCTAAAGATATAAAAAAAATATTTATCATTTACACCAATATTAATATTTTATGATATAAATAGAAAGTATATAAAAGTAGGGGTATTAAATAAAAAATCATGTTAAAATATTATAAGTACATTAGCATTGTACGTTTGGTACTTTTGATTGATATCTACGCAATTTTAACTTAATATCTGGAGTCAAACATCATCCATGTAGGTGTATAGGATTTTGGCACTTTTGTATAGGAACGATACAATTTATTTGCTTCTTATCTCGATTTGGCGCTTATGTCAACCATCGATTTTTCCAACACGGTAGTTCATGTAAGAAAACATCGAGGAAATTCGATACCATTTCCTCCAATGATAAATGACAATAAACGTCAATTTTAGTGATAATAATAGGTATAAATTTATGCTTTATCGTAACTACTATTAACAATATCCAATGCCATTCTTAATTATTTGGTTTTTTTTTTTTTGAGGAGATTTGCCCCCTTCGACCTGCACCTCGCAACACTTAACTCACAATCACTGCGCGCCTACAAATGTGGCATAGTTAATTTATCGCCATATATTTGGTTGGACGCCTGAAAACTTTTTCTCGCCGATTCGGTGTATATTTTATACACACGCGCGCGCCGTGGGCACTCTCGACATATAAATATATTATATGATGCGATACTATTGACCGCCCCTTTTTCACTCCATTGGATTTATGTACCTATTTGTGTGTTTATATTAAAGTGTATTTGTTTTTGTTTTGTTTTGTTTTTTTATTATTATTATTATTATTATTATTTATTTATTTATTTATTTATCAAACAGCTCCCATCAACGAAGTGGACCGGAGACCATCGAAAAAGACCGGAAAATACCAAGACGCCGAGGCGGCCAATAACAAGAAGGACGAAGGAGACCAACGTCAGAGTTCGCGGGCAGCAGCCGCAGCCGCCGCCGCCGCCGGTAAGTGTAACCGATAATGCGCGACGCGGACACGCCCGTTAGTGTCGCCACTATATTATTATTGCAATACTGTGGCGCGGAGAACAAAACAACAACGCGCTCACCGATCGTTTGATTTACCGACCGGATCAGCGACGGTAGAGAGGTATTAGAAGACGCGAGGGATGACCCTTTTGTTTTGTTTACACTGTATAAATCACCCTTCAACTCGGAGAAGAAATTTCTTATTTTTTCTGTCTATTTCTTTTTTTTTTTCGGATCGACCTTTTCAGTACATTATTCACGTGGAGACTTTTTTACTTTTACTCTTAGCTATATTATCAAATAGCGGGTGCGTTTTTATTTCTCGTTTCGTCAAAAATGTATATATTTGCCACACCGTGGAACAGAAAGCGTTTAAAACATAGTTTTGCATCTTAATGTGCATAATATATATACAGCATATATAATATGACTATATACATTCGGATTTCGACGGCGCCGTGTTTGCGTTACCTGTTATGCTCGCTACGGTTAACCAGCTCAGCTCTGATAATGTAGTAGTATAATGATAATAATAGTAATAATAATAATAATAATAAATATTATGTTTGTTCTCGTCAAATACCCCGTTGCACCGAGTATCTCATCTCTATGAATACGAGATACAACATTAAACTGTCAGTACACTTTTATACGAATTTTCTACATACACGAAGGTAGATGATCGCGACTTGTCACCCTTACGTCGTGTTCGACATCCAGTGACCGACCGCCGTGTAAGATCGCTTCTATTGGACGAATCGCTATTAACGATGAAGCGCTAGAGATTGTTTTTTTTTTATTTTTATTCTGTATTTTCGTAAACGATATCTAAGACCAGATTTACTTAATAGTTAATAATAATAAAATTTGTATCATTTATGTAGCTTATTCTTTTTCTTTTATTTGTTGCGAAATGACAATCAAAAATAATAATAACAGTATTACATAAAAAGCGGCATCAGCGGAATAATAATAATAATACCAGATGGTATCGATCTAATAACAATAGCAATAATAATAAGAATACATAAGACGTTAACTACGACTGATCCGCGTCACGCAATGAGACTAAATAAGTATTAATAATTAAGCGCATTATCCGTCAGATCGATAATAATACAGTATAATAGTGTAATAAATTGACACTATTATATTTCCCAATGCACATATGGCATGCATCGGCTGGCAGTGGATGATACGATTTATTATACAGCACGAATGATTAGGTTACCCGTAAAGATATACATTAGAGTTTCCGTCATTTTCACATTTGCCCATCTAGCTAACGCTGCTGTGGAAAAGAAATTTCTTTTGCTACTCCACGTTGGAAGTACGCATGTCGATCACAAAACAAATTACGTACACTTAAATATAATTTGTTAAAAAATTATGTGTCAAGCGTATTCCCTTTGAACGTTCAGCACTAAGCTACTGTGTTATATCTGACTCGTTAGGGTTGACATCATTGCGATTACACGCGATCAGGTGGTAGCTAATTAAAAATATCGATTGTTGGTACGCCTATATTTATATTAATGAGGCCCACTATTTGTTACGTTACAATCGTTACATAGTTTATATTACATTAGTGATTAATATGTTGTGAATATTTTTTATTGAAATTTAAAACTCTATTAGTATTAAGACATACTTTTTTAACAGGACAACTATTTTTTTAATGGATTCTATTAGCTATTTTTACCTTACCATTTTTTTATGAAAAATAAATAATCAATATTTTGATATAGTATTTAATAAATTTCCTACTAGAGTTACGTGAAAATTCACTTATCAATTGTACTTCAATAAATACTAAAATTAAATAAAAAGGAAAAAATCATGTGTACAACGGGCATGAGAAACGCCCTGTACATACTTAAGCGTTTTCGATTGAGATCCCTGGTTGTCCTCACTGCGTTTAATGGAAATTTAATACGTCTATACGCACGCATCCTTCCGAGACCTCTTCAGCCGATACCCACACCAAATTATAATGCCGGTTAAAGTAAATTTACGAAACAGAAACAAAAATTCACAAACAGGTCGTCGATCGATTATAAATTATAATGATATACCAATCTATTAATATATTATGCTCGACGATTGAGCATAAATATAATCCTAATAAGAGACCTTCAAATAAAAAATAAATGCATACTAAAATGTACATTTTATACCACTCAAGATTAAATTAGGTGTTGGCCACAAAATACAACATGGCGTACATAAACCTATAATTTTCTTATTATTATTAAAAATTTTGCATTTAAGGCCATTGGACATAATATTTGATAAAACTGGTTTAGATATATTATTTTTATTAATATAAAATAATAATATAAATCTTATATGTTACAGTATATTTACATATGAAGTTTATTATTGATAGATGAACATAATTCGAATAATTTAAGAATGCAACTTGGTTCCAAGTGAAGAACTACAAATAACTAATAAGTAATCACAGTTTGAGTTAGAGTGTGTCTCAATTTAAGGGACGCCATACCTTACAGATTCATATAAAAGGATTATTCTCTATTATTAAATGTTGGTATGTTAGACTCATATGACTCATTGGCCAAGATCAAAATGTTGTATACCTATTATTATTATGTTGAGAAAAAAATTCATAAATTTTATATAATATTGATTTTTTTTAATAAAAATATTATACATAATATTTTATTTATTAAAAAGTTTTATTTTTTTTATTTTTTAATCTGTAAACAATAAAATAAATTTTCATAACTTGGTAAATTTGTTTTGCTAGAGTACATTAATCGTGTAAAAATACATAAAATTAAACTTGAAACCTCCTGTAAACACGTTTACCTTGCATTATTTTATCAAACACAGATTTTAAATATTTCTATAAATAATATAAAAATAAAAATATGTCAAGAAACTAAGTGAAAGGGGGTAAGTAGGTACTATTATGTATGATAAAATTGTTTATTTATATTAATGTATCAAATATTTGATTATATCATACATATAACGGTAAACAGAAGGCTGTCAGTATCATATTTTATGGATTTAATTTGATTATACGAAAAATAAAAATAAACTTATTCTGATTTTTCACTATAATATTATTACAATGTGATATAGGTATATACTTGACGACAGTATTAATTAAAATATTAATTATATAATATTTTTATATGCATTATATACCTATTACTTTGGTGAATAATAACAGCGGACATATTCTTAAAACCCTTAATCATACAATTAAAATATTCACAATAGTATTATACTCTCTTGAGACTATAATAATATTTAACTCGCTGCGTAATAAATAAATTAATAATATACATGGAATTAAAACAACTGGCTTCTACTCCAAAGGTAATTATTTATACTATTAATTGTTAGTAGGTACTTCAGAATATTATCAAAGGATAATATTTATATTGTTCCCTAACCCTAACTGAAATAAGTATAAGTATGTATAGTTATTTATTTTTTCCGTGATTTTCGTAAGCAAATTTAATTACAACTTACTAAAGGAATAATTAGAAATATAGATACTCAATAAAGTTAATTAATTTATAATAATTTTTGAAATAAATATACTGAAAAAAAAATTCAGTAGGTAAGTACTGTCAACTTGATTAAATAAGAAAGTCTATAAACACTGAATTTTAATTTTAAACTTGTAAATGTGTACATACATAAATTATATTTTACAACATAAATATTATTTTATAATAATATATGTGTATGCAATTTCCACGAATTCCATTAGTATGATTGCAAAGTAAACAAATAATTGCATACACATTTTTAATAATTATGAAAACATTTTTTAAAACAATATTATATGAAAAATCTTAAAACGTGAAAATACCGTAATGTTGTACTTTGCAAACTTATTCCAAATGTTACTAAGAATTATGCCATATTTTTTAATTTCCCTTTCTTATGTTACCAAAAGTTAAGCTACTTAATTAAATTCCATAAATTAATGAATAACTAATATACAAACTAATAAGTAAAAGATAGATCTATATGTAAGAATTCTAGAAACAGCTAGTGTGTAAATGTTTTTTTTTTTAATATTTTTAAAGAAAAACATTATATTAATACGGGTTCAATCAAATTTTTAACCCAAAATCACATAGAACATTCCAATAAATTAAGAAATGGTGTAATCAATGTGAATATAATATGAATTAATATATTTTATAAATGTTTATTGACTTTATAGCTATTCCAAATACTATATTTAATTGATATATATATTATTGATATATTGTTGAAAACTTAAATTGAACATCATTATAGATATTAAATTAGTAAATTTTTCCAAACTTAACTTATATAACAGACAAAAACTTACAAAAATTCAATTACAGACTTTAGTCTTTTACGAATATTTATGTATCTATTTAAATTTAATCTAATAAATTAAGTACCAGTTAAAATTCTTAAATTGTTTATATAATGGAGAAAAGAAATTGAATAATTCATTTTTTTCAAACAATGCGTTTCTACTAAAAATGTATTACAATAGCTATGTAATTTTGCTTCTTAAGTCTTAAATTTGTTACATGTATAACAATAAATACAAATTTAAAAAGTAAACATGATTAAATTTAAGAAGATGTTGTAATATTGAGTAACTTAAAATAAATATTCTTTAAAATAGGTATAAGGGCCTATAATAATTAATTAATTAATTATATAATAATTAATATATTCTTATTTAAAAATAGAATAAATAAAAACAAAAAATTGATATTATTAAACTAAAAAATACTATTGCTAATTATTATAATAATTATAATATCTTATAATACTGTTTATAATATTTTTTGAAAAAATGTAAATATTTAATGTTTTTACGTAAGATAATAACAAGTATCAGTTTATCTTAAATATTTGAAAGAATAGTTAAGATCTTTGAAGACTCAAAACAATTTGTTTTTTGTATAAATAAATTAATAAAGTTACATACATTCTACTTAAAT